TGGTCATGTGGTGGAGGCCTCAGTGCCTGTGCTACTTCACTCACTTCTCAAAATGCCCAATAAGGAGCAATATTCCCACTTTACAGATGGGGAGACCGAGGGTGGTAACCTGAGATACAGGGGGAGCAGCCCCAGCCTCCGCCCTGGCCAGGCTCTTCTGTCGTCCCCAGCAGTCACCTTCCCATGGTGGGCTCCTGTTTTGGCCTCAGAACTTCTTTCTAGGGTGACACCAACCGGAAATAGACACAGAACAAAATCCATTGTGAAAGCCAGTGGCTTGCGCAGCGTGTTGTGGGGGCGGGCGGCAGGGGAGCACCGGAGGAGGCAGCCACACTGCTTAAAATAGGTATGGACCTCGCTCCAAACCACCTATGGTGCCATCAGAGTGGAAACTGCCACCACCATGGCCTGGATACAAAAGCACCCACTAATTAAATGAGTGGTGAGACTCTCAAGACAGTGTATTAACCATCGTGACTGCCTGAGACACCTCTCTTCTTTGGTTGCTGTGCCAAGGAATTGGCAGTTGCTGAGTGCAGGGAAGCGTGTGCTGCGTGGCCAGGGACCTGTCCTCACCACCCACCCCCAAGGGGAGCCTTGGGTCCTGAGCCCTGCTAGGGAAGAGCCATTTCCTGTGCAGCGACAGGAAGCCAGATGCCACCACGGGTCCCTCAGAGGAGTGCCCGGCCACACAGAGGCCAGCCGAGCGACAGGCCAGTGCCAGCCCAGGGCCCGGGCAGGTTCTGACCCCACTTTCACCATCACCCGCAGAAACAGGAGCCTCCAGATGGCGCCTGCTCAGCCCCTGTTCAGGCAGAGTCTCCATCTTGTGTTGGGACATGTTGAAAACACCTGCTTCGCTGCCCACCTTCCACGAAGTCCCCTGCCCCTCACAGAAGCTCTTCCAGAGGATGCCAGGGAAGAGCCCAAGGAGTATGGACAGGGCTGCAGCTGCCTTAATGTTCCTAGATAATAGTTTTCTGACCTCCAAAGAGAAGGCACAACCTCCAAGGCCCACCTCATCACAAGGGTGGTATCGGGAGCCCTGGGCAGAGATTCCAGAGGATTCCAGACTAACAGATTGCTGCTGGCCTCTGTCCCCTCTTCCTTTAAGTAAAGACTTTCTGACACCCCAGGAAGCCCCAGGGCCCCTACCCGGCCCAGCTGGCTCTGTCAGTGAGCTGACAGCTCACGGTGCGCAGCCCTCGCCAGGAGTCTCAGCACACTGCCCTGCAGAGCTGTGAGCGGAGCTGGGTGCCCTGGGCAGACTGAGAGCTCCAGGGACCAGGCTTCAGGCTCCCCCTCCTGCCCGGCTGGCGTGCCGAGGCACCAGAGTATTCACTGGATGAGATGCATGGCCTCCTGGGGCGGACAAGCGGGGTCCTGAGGAGGGTGTTCTCCTGGACCACAGCAGGGGCTTGTGGACGTGGATGAACGAATGAATGACAATGAATGGAGGTGCACACGTGTGCTCTCAAAGGTCCCCTAGCCCCAGTGAGTACGTTTGGCACCTGTCACTTTGCTTTACGCACCAGCCACCTCCCTGGAATCTAAGGCATTTGAGGGCAGGTCCGGGTCACATTTGCAGCCTCTGCAGCGTGGCCAGTGCTGCTAGGCGAGGGCTCCGTTGTGCTAAGCGTCTATTCTGAAGTAAAGTGCATTACAATGTATGACTTGAAAGGACTGAATAGAAAAAGGGCAAATCTTGCCTGTAAGAAATACTGTTCATGTCATCACTCAGGATTTACTAGCGGCTCCACACACTGATCATAACATAAATAGTCCTCCGTTTCTACAGATGCATAGAAGTTGCCCATAAATTCATTAGAAACGCGCTGCTTCAATCTAGGGAACTGCCGCCCCAGTAATCGCGAGGAAATGACTCTGAGTTGCCGAGTCTCTCTGGAGAAGGGGATCTGCGCGCTTCACGCACGACGCACAGGTACAAGCAAAAACACAGCCATGTCGGGGAGCCCGGCCACAGCTGCTTTCTTGAAGAGTAATTTGGGGAAAGCTGATGTTCAGGGTTGATGATTCATTCAAGATGGTGACCAAATACCTGACTGTTCTCTCAGAGAATGTTCCTCTTACTCATCTTGGCGCTGCTGTGCCCTGCATGGCGGCGTACTGGGCACAGCATTTAAGGAGAACATCATTGTGCACCCACAGGTTTATTTCCAGGGGCTTTCGGAACAAATGCTCCTTCCCCACAAGGTGACCAGCGCCAGGCTCCGAGCAGGCGCTGTGGAGCGCTTTGTTCCCTGGAAGAAGATTCTACAAATGTTGATTCACTAATTTACTTTAATGAAAAAGCTGTAGGCAGTCTCAAGTCTGAGTAAGCGTGAATGCTAGAAAGGTCCCTCTAGACTTACAATGCATTTTTCAATGTTCTGTCTGGAATAGGAATATAAATAGAGCATTCGAGATGCCTGTGTGAGGCTACTTCTAAGATCAAATATTTCTGATGATGGCAAATAAAGATTTTAAAATGAAAAGGATTCCATCGATTCCCCCCAAAATGTTCCCCTTTCTGTCAAGGTGGAGTAAGATGGAATGGATTTACTGTCCACCAGAAACCATCACAAATGCTCAGGAAAACAAGAGATGAACAAACACTTTTCGATACACTCCCTTTCCGCGAAAAACTGATTTCTAGAAGGCAACGCAGGGAAAGGTTGGTGACATTGGTTTAGATGAGGCTTTCACGGATACAATGAGGAAGACGTGATTCACAAAAGGAAAAAAAAAATCAATTGGGTTTTATTAAACTTGAAAAGCCCTGCCCTTCAAAAGACATTGTTAAGAGAATGAAAAGATAAGGCACTGTCTGGGAGAAACACTTGCAAATCCTGTACCTGACTAAGAATTTGTATCTAGAATATAGAAGGAACCCTTGAAACTGCACAATGAGCGAAAAACAAGCACTCCAAGTTCAGAAAAGAACAGATTCTTTGCCAAGATGCTGTAAAAATGGCAAAAAAGCACACGAATAGACCATTAATCCCGAGGGGCCAGCAGATGAAAGCCGGGGTTATTAGAACGGTTAAATCTAGAAAGATCAGCCATTCCCAGTGTCACCAGATGTGGGTCTGTCTAAACTCTCATGCTTTTCACGCAAACGTATGCTTGTATGAGTCCTTGGGGAAACGCTGGCAGCCTCGTGGAAAATAAAACCACACCTACCCTAGGAATCAGGCGTTCGCCCACGTAAGGACGAATCGGGCACTCGCAGCCTCCAACCTGGAACCAACCCAGATGCCCACCACAGGTGTCGGGACTGCCGGAACGTGGGCCACCCATGCAATGGGTGCTACTCAGCAACAGAGAGGAGGGAGCTGGGATACGCGCGCCGGCGTGGAGGACTCTCAAAAGAGAGTCATGCAAAGTCAGGAGGCCAGGCCAAAAAGGGTGGCATCTGCACGATCCGCTGGTCTGAAAAGCCAGAGTCTATGTCACCATCGACAGTGTCAGAAAGGGATAGAGAAAGCAACCGGGGGTCAGGAGGGAGCAGGAAAGGCTAAAAGGGGCCCAAGGAAACTTTTGGGGTAAGGGACAGATGAGTTGCTGGTTGTGTAGATGTGTGTGTCAAAGTTCTCCAAGTGGACACTTTAAATACATTCCGTTTACTGTGCATCCGTTATAGCTTGATGAAAAGAAAACCGAAAAGACACTCAGAGGATGGTTTACACAGGGATCGGGGTGGCCTCGGAATCTCCACCCTGCTGCTCCGCTTAAGGAAGGGACACCCTGAAAATCATAGGAAACACGCTCTGACTTCTGTCCCATGCAAACTGCTTCTACTGTGTCGCCTCCGGTCACGTGTGGTGATGCCAACTGCATCACAGTCTGGGATGCTCTAAGTGCCTGCGGTCGTGGGGACCAGTCTGCTGTGTCCCCCATCTTGTTTGCCATCAAATCTTATTCCTAAGACTTTCCACTAAATCATGCTCTTCAGGCCACTACCGCTCAACTCGCAAGGGAGTTAAGCTTCCATCACACAGAAAGTGCAAGAAAGCCAAGGTCAAGCTGAAGGGCACCGCGGTCTTCAGTGCACGTGCTGGAAGCTATGCTGTTTTCTCCATCACCCACAGACGTGGCCCATCCCATCCCACCAGCACAGACAAACCCCCAGAGGTGGAAACCGCCCCACCCCTGGTGTGGCCACCCAGGATGGGTCACCGGGCTGTCCGCGTTTTCCTTTACAAGAGAGAAATACCAAAAAAAAAAAAAAAAAAAAAAAAGAATTTCTCAAACAAATCCTCTGGGCTGAACTTGGGCAACACATTTTCCCACAGAAAGCATCAAAGGGTCACCATGTATTTTGAGGCTGACCTGGAGGCGCTGCTTGCAAAGTGTGACGAGAAGAGCATTGTCCTGACAACAGCCCGTCACCCGGATCACTCTTGGGTAGAAACTACAACCCCTCCATGCCCTCCACAACTGACTCGATGAGAAGCCAGCTCAGAATTTACTTTCTATATTTACCCAAGACAAGAAAGGCAACCCCCGTGAAGAAGGATGAATATAGGATTCAAAATTTGGCCAAGACTGAGAGGACCCACGTTGGCCCTGGACCACTAATAATGTTTGTGAAAGATTGGGTTATTAGATGAGCCGCTGTCGAAGACGGACACTATTTATGCAATGCTAAAGCAAACATTTTCATTCAGCAGCATCCCCTAAATTGCAGCAGAAATGTGAAACTCGACCTGACACCTGTAGCAGATCTGGGGCCTTCCCTGCCCGGGGCCCAGGCCTTCTCCTTGGCGGGGCGCATTTCTCTGACCCTGCTCAGAAAGGACAAGAGCCACACCCCGGCCTTTCAACGAGGTCTGTTTCAAAGGTGACCTGTGACCTGAAGGAGAATTTCCTTCCTAATCAGTTCTTACCTCTCATCGCTGTCCGACGGAGAATTCACCCCCTTCTTTTCAACTCTCTGGTTTTGTTTGGTCAGTGGTGTGTGAGTGTTGATTTAACAGGCACCCAGGGGTGCTACTTACGTCATGCATGGAGTCCAGCAGCTTGGTCAGTTGGTAGAACCTCTGCCAGCTCTGCCCAGAATTGTTGGGAGACTTGGTGACCATCTTCCTCAGTTCTTTGATGTAATTTGTCCTCATTTCTTCAAATGCAGCCTGGCACTTGAGGCCATCCTTTGGAACTGTTGAAGGAACATGCGCATGTAAATTCCCAGGATGGAAAACAGCTTTAGCATCTTGGCAGTTTAGGTTGATGCAGTTTAGGTTAGCAACTTCTTTTGAGCTTGTGAGGCTCAAACCACATTGGCACTGAGTCTCTGATGAGTTAATAGAGAATTATCCACTGGCAAACTGGTGCCTGTACATATACTTTGCATACGTGAGCCTGTTATGACATAACCAACGTATTATTCTCTTTTCGTAGATGAGGAAAGTAGAGACTGCAGGTTTATACTCTTGCCCAAGGACAAAGTAAGTGGGTGGCACAGAAGGGGTTTGTAAACCTAGGTCTTTCTGTTTCCAAAGCCTGTCTGTTAACCACAACACCACATTGCCTTGTGGCCTGTCATCACAGCGCCTTATGAATCCTGGCTTGTCAATACCTCAGAGGTAGGAAACTATGCTTTGATTTTCCAGCACAACTGCAAGAGCCCACAGTCCTAGCTGGGACTAGAATTAAAAGGCAACACCTTCATATTCAAGTTCAAATATCAAAGACAGAAACTGGCTGTCTGCCAAGGAAAGAAGAGGTACATGCAAAGCACCACTTCGATTCTCTGTGCTTTAGGGTCACAAGAGCCTGGGGGTGCTGTCATGTGCCCTCCCCACCCCCAGCCTCAGTGGGGCTGAGCACTGGTTTGTGTGTGCAACGGGCAAATGCAATGGAGGCTCTGCCCGCCAGCAAAATCTAACACCTTCATCTTACTCTTTGATATGGTAGAAAAAAATGAAGGATTGTGTTTTCTTCTTTCATGCTGTGATGAGTTTATACTGAAATTTAAAAACTTTCACACAGAGTATTTTGGGATTCAGGACTTAGAAGCTTACTGAGTGCTTCTGTGACCTGTGCAAAGGAGCTGCTTTTCCCCAGGACACACGTGAAGGTACTTTGTGGACAGAGGGGGTCTGTGCCTGCCTTCTGGAAGGTACAGCGCAGAGCCTACGCCGAAGACAACCTTCTGAAAATCAACACACACGCTTCTTTTCTTCCTCCTGAAGCCAATAAATAGCTATGTTTATGCTTGAACTTTGAAAACTAAAGCCACTTAGAACTCTATTTTTAGAAATGGAAGACCTAATGAGAATTCATCTTGTGATATTAACATGCAGAATTGGAAGCGGCTCTTACTTTTACTTCTTCATTCCACGCATTCGCTAATTTATGAGAACTGGTATAGATAATAATTTACTCGGGTCATCAACACTTTGGAATGGTTAAGCACATTTTCTAAGTATTCTGTGCCACCAGGGAAGCCAGGAATACCCACTGTTTCCAAATAAACCCTGCTGTCCTATATAAAGAGACAGATCAGCTTGCAAATTAGCTGCAAGTATTCTGTTAATAATCTTCTACTTGAGTTTAAATTGTTGGGACTTGACATTTGTGGCTCATCAAAGTCTATCTTGGAGGGGAGGGGGGTAAATTCCTATCAGCAAGTGCAGAGAACCCAGAAGCTGTCACAATGTGATTTCAAATATTGAGAGTTAAATACCACCAGGCTGTAACGATTTCTTTGTTTAAAATTAAAACTTTGTTTTAAAAGTATGAAAATCAAATATAAGGCTGACGGTAACCAGAGTGTTAGTAGTAAAATTTTACATTTACTTTCGACCAACATTTTAATGTCAACCTAAAACTTTCTGAAAGAAACCGAGAGTTTAAGTAAAAAGCGGACATCAAATGCCTAGTGGTGGATGAACATTCTCATTTTTAAGTTATAAAATTTTATGGAGTTAACTTTTAGTTTTTCAATACAGATACTTATGGATGTCATCCTAGACCTTAGAAAATTATCTAAATTTCCACAGGAGGTCAGTGCAATCGGGTCCCTCTACTGAGACTAACCAAAGACCTTCCTATTTCTCAAGATGACCAAAATATTTCAAAAATTCTCAAAGTTGTGAACAACCTGTGTTAAAAAGTACCTGTATTTTACTGCTGTAGCTGCAGTATATTGTACTAATTTCCCAGCCAGATTTTTTAGAAGTTGAAACAAACCCACAAATAAAGAGAACTTAAGCAAAACCTTAATTTTTGGAGATGTGCCCAGATTTTCTGATTTACTTATTAAATGCAGCAGGGCTGCTGGAAATCGTCCAACGTCTATGGGTTGGGGAAGAGCAAAGAGACAACAGGGGGGAAGTTCATCCGCTCTCCTCTGTAAGCACATAGACATGTCAGTGCTGAAAACCATCGGTGACACAGTGGCCGGCGGGTGTGCAGTTGAACATTCTACATGAGGAGCCTTTTTATCATCGATTAGCAAAATACGCTTGCTAAAGTCTGCAGTTTCAATGATTCACAACATTCCTTACTTATGTTTTCCTGCCTTTTTATGCTGCTTTTCCTGCCTCTACACAAATTAGAATGGAAAGCCTTGAGCTACTTGGAGGCTAATAAATTAATTCAGGAAGCTTCAAAATGTTATCAGAATCGATTATAGACTCACTGATTAAATGGAGGTAAAAGGATGAGACACTAATTAAGATCGAGGAGTCAAAATTTAGATAGAATTAGTGTCATAGGCATTTTGAGGAAAAAATGTTTCATTTAAATTCTATCACCCATCTAATTTTTTCTTTTCTTTCTTTAACATCCTGCTAGCCAGTACTAGTTAATGACACCACCAGAAAAGGGGAATAGTCACCATCACTGGATGTAAAGCCTGTATTTCTAAACCTATGCTCTGGCAAGGATCCACGGGAACGCCAGAAGCCTTGAGGATGTGGGCAGCAGGGAGACAGAGTCCACTGCTGGGGCCCTGCAGCCGAGAGGTTGTCCACGCCAGACAATGGGAGATGGGGCTGCGTGTTGTAGTAGGGAGTGGTGGGGCCTGTGGCAAACTGGAGAGAACATGCCTGGCTCCGGGCAATCCAGCTCCATGAACATAAAACAAGAGGTGAGGCCAAGAGCAACCTAGAAAACCCAAACAGGCCAAACAAAACACAGCTGTGAATGCAGGCCCTGCCCGGCCAGGCTGCGGGTTTGCCGCCTCTGCTGGAGTCCAGAATCTGCCTGTGCATCCCTCTCCTGCCGCTGCCATGCCCCCAGCCTGCCCCTCCACCCCTCGTGGCCCTGCTCCCTGATGTCCAGAGTCCTGGGCCTGAGTCCTACCTCACAGAGGACAGCGAGCGGGTGCCAAGGTGACTCTATTTGGGCAACTGTCAAGTAGGCCTGTCCATTCTCTTTTTAAGCACTAAATTACACAATGGATGGAAAAAGCACTTCCTCCACTGGGAGGTACAAAGCCCTGTGGAGCTGACTGGAATCCACTGTCACCCCCGCTCCTTGCTCGTGTTATACTTGATCCTGCTCGGTCCTGCTCCTCTCAGACCCTCTCGGCTGGAAGTCACATCTCCTCTTGCCTCACTGTCCCAAATGACTCCGCAGACCACTGTCCCTCTCCCCAGTGCAATCCCTGCGCCGGTGAGGAGGGCTGGGCATGCCGGACATGCTTCTGCTTCACATGGCCACTCGCCACCTTCCATGCCACGGGCCATGGCATCCAGAACATGCCTCAGTTTCCCCTGTGGCCACAACACTGGTTCAGAGATTTCCTCTCCACACTGGCTCCTGGTCTTGTCCTCATAGATATAAGCATCCTCAGAGGCTTCTGTCCCCCTTGGAAACTTTGTGGGCTACTGTGTGACCTGTCCTCTCTCATCTCTTCTGGCCCTTTAGGCCATCACCATCACACTCAGTTCCAGAAGCTTCCCATCAAGGCACAGGGCTCTGACCCTGGCGCCTGCCCAAGGCCTATGGGCTGCTCCAGCAGGCTTCGCGCAGAGTCCCAACTTTCTCTGTGGGAGCTCCACTCTAAGCTGCGCCCCACTGGAAACGGGGCTTGGCTGCCCCATTTCACCACCTGTGACAGTTGGGCCTCTGTTGCCCTCTGATGCTCCTTCCTGTGTTTCGGCAACCACACTCACCGTGGAGCTTAGATGCTCGCCTTCTGCACGTCAAGTTCTTCTCTCAATCCCAAACCTGTCCTCTGCGTCCCAGCCCCAGGCTTCTCTATCTGCCGACCTCTACCTGAAAACAAGCCCATCTGAACTGGAACACCTTTTAGTCCCATAAAATTGTCTCCAAGCCCGGCATCAGCACATGTCTCCTCAAGGCCTCCCTAATATCCTAGTCATTTCTCTGTGCTCAACACCCGCATCGCTTCTGACTACACCCTTACAATGGCTGCTTCTGCTCAGTGAAAAGTTAGATGGGTACAGAAATAAAATGAAGAAATGAGGAGGTAAAACAATGCCCTGGGTCAGAGCGCTGCTGCCTGGCTGGGCCCTCCACCCCATCCCACACTCATTCCCACCATTTGTTCCCAACAGGAATGCCAGCTCCCGCCTCACAGCCCACCATCTAGAGCTCTTGCAAAGCTCCTCATGATTCAGCTTCACCAGAGGCCTCTTCCTGATCCCCAGAATAGACTCCTTCCTTCTCTGAGTGACCCTGATACTTTTTCTCTCAATGTGGATAATCCCCTTCCCAATGCGTTGAAATGATCTGTGAATTTATTTCACTGCATAAACTCCCCCAAACCCACCACATGCTAACAACATGGAACCTGGCCAGTGGTGTGCCTGGAGAGATGGACGGGTGGAGGGAGAGGCTGCAAGTAGCTCAGTGCGCCCGACATCCAGGCCCTGCCCACCCTGTCATCTGTGTCATACACCTGCGGGCTCAGGTGCGGGTTGACCTGACTCTGCAGATGGTCCACCCTCCTAAGGGAAGGGGGCCTGGCAGTTCAGAAAAAGTGCCCTCGATTTACCTGTGCTGAGCAGCAGCAGAACCTTCATGATGGTGTATTCCTCAAAGGTGAGCTGCAGGCGGACGAACTGGAGGCTGATTTGGTGCATCCCCTGGCAGAGCTCATACATGGCTGACTGATGCATCTTCTCTCTGCAAGAGGACGAGAAAGAAACAAGACTGAGAAGTGGAGTTCATTATCACATCCTCCCTGGCAGCTCAAGGCAGCTTAATATGAGATCTGAGTCAGAGTTTTCCTTTGGTGTCAACCTGGAGCAGAGGTGTACTTTAAAGATGAGTTTGATGCCTTTCACGGGAAGTGGCAAATTGCTTCTAGAACCCTCAGCTGGGCTATTTACTAGTACCCTGTAAGACTGTGTCAGAAGCACGGAAACCAGCCTTTCCCTAAGTGTGCCATTACTTCATCTGACGTCAAGAGTAACAGCGGCTGGCCGAGTGCGGGCTATATGGAGATCATTTCCGAACACTTATCATTTGCCAGGATGGATCGAGGGCAAGCCTGGCCTATTTCCACATGGAAGTGACCTGCAGCACCCCACAGACAAAGGGGAATTAGCCAACACTTTAAAGGGTGAGAGTCTGGGGGAAATGCATTTGGCCGGGTGGGTGTCATAACTGCACACTGCCCTTCAAACAACCCGCCACCCCTCTCCCGCCAGGAATCTAAATGTTTCCATAAAAATCGACATTATGTGTCAACTGAAGTTGGCTTTTCTTCTTACTCTGTAAAGTAAGCAAAACATTGCTTTGTTACGTAGATTTTCTTTTTTCAACATAGCAGATCTTTTGGGCAGCCCTGAGAAAGTCCTGCTTCGTGATAACCAGAGTGACAAGAAGGGAAGGACTTGATAAAGACATGACACCTGCCGACACACTCTGCGTCCATGCGGCTGGCAGAAATCTCTCTCCTCTCAACTCTGGAAGCCAGCTGTAAAGGACGCACAGCGTAACAGAGGACACTCATGCTGCGTGATTATGAGTATCTCTGTTCTCCCCACAATGAGCCTACGGCACTACCACCCAGAACCCACGATGTAAATAACACGTAATGTTGCCAGGCTATCCTCCGATCTTTAACTGTTCAACATGGCAAAGCGAAGGCTCACTCAGCCGCCCTCCATGTTCCCACTCATCGTCCTCATTCAAGGAGAGAGAACAGCCCGCTCTGATCATCCCTCCTTCTCAGATGCATGTATTTTAACATACTCCCGTGTACGCATGCATCTGCAAGACACAGGGCTGCTCTGCTCTCTGCACACTGGAAGTCAGACATGCACCTTCTCCTGCAACCTATTCTTCCGCAGTCTTGCCACTTTGAGGCGTGTCCATTTGCGTACAGGCGTCTCTAAGTTAATCCATTTCCATTGCTGCAAGTTTCATTTCTTTACAGTTTCTTTATCTGCACCACTACTGACGGGCGCGTGGGTCCCCTCCTCTTTCCAGCTGTTTCTGTGATGCATCCTCGTGCACGGCCTAGGACACAGCGTGGAACAGAACTGCCGAGTCACGGATTTGGGCACATCTGCCCTTTCACTCCAGCGTGAGGCCAGAAGCTAGTCCTTCTGGTCCACCTCCGGCCCACGCGGCCATCATCCGGTTTACGCTGACTTGCCCTCCGACAGGGGTGAAAGGGCAATCACATTGTTGCTTTTATTTGCATTTTCATTATCCCGAGAAGTTGATTCTTTTTCAAAGATTTGCTGGCTGGCCATTTCTTTTGGGTAGAAATGGGGTTTTCTTAGGAGATGCGTCTCCTGATGTATTTTTTGCCAGCCTTTTGACAAAGAACATCTTTAGTCACAGCATTATTTTTTGCCTTAAAAATTTGTCTGATTAATATTCTCCCTCCTCCCTTCCTGTCTTTTTCTTTCGCTTTAAAACTTGCCTGATATGCCCCTTTCACAGTCCCTAAATTTCAAACTTCCCACATAATTATATTTCACACATGTCTCTTATAAACAGAAAAAAGCTGGATTAAAAAAATCTGTCTCTGTATTTTAACAGCTCAGTTTAATCTGTTTTTCATTTACCATATTTACTGATATAGTTGGATTTTTTCCCACCATTTGAACTTTGTTCTTTTTCTCCTTCCTTTCCTTGCTTTTATTGGACTGCTCCAACTTAAAAAAAAAAAAAGAAAGCCCCTCTTTGCTTCTTTATTGGATTTAGAAGGTGTCCATTTCACTTTTACTCTTCCAATAATTATTAAATCATGAGCTTGTATGTTTAAAAATCTAAAGTTCACCTAAATTTTTTACCTTAGGGTCAATATATCTCCTTTCTCTACATTATATCTTTATTATAACTGCAAAAACGTCTAACATGCTTATTTGATAGTTTCAGTTTTTTTGTTTTTTAAAGATTTTATTTATTTATTTATACAAGCACTGGGTACAGTCAGAAGCGCGGGAGGGTGAGAGAATTCACCAGAGCCAGAGCGGGGAGCAGAACAGGCAGAAGGACCGAAGTACACTGCTGAGGGGAGCAGCGGGCACCAGGAGAGGTCTGCGCGCCATGTGGGACCTTCGTCCGGTGGGACCTTCGTCCGGCGGCTGGGGATCGAACCGGCGCTGCTGAGGCTGCAGGCAGCTTTGCAGCCCAGTGCTCAACTGCTGCACCACCAGGGGAGGCCCAGTTTCAGTTTTTTAATTCAGTTTTTCTGAATGCATTTTATGCGCATGCTTTGCTATTAAGGGACGGTGCTAACGGGTATTGTCCTTTGGGTGAATCCCAGGCTCCTGTGGAAGGGCTGCTACGTGAAGTTTTAGCTTTTGTAACTATCAGGGTATAAGCATGTCACTTGTCCTGGGCCACTTTTTATTCTGATTTCTCCATTTAACTGCTTTTTGCAAGATGTGTATAGTTTAAATTTAGACTGTGCACTTGATGTCGTGCAGGCTTGGGTTTCTGATTACTTTCAGCTTCCTGGGCATGCTGGCTGTTGAGTCCTCTGTCCTGGTTCACAGTCAGAGGAATCTCTGCAGAGCCCAACTTTATGCCGGGGTTCCCATCTCAGCCCCCAGGCTTGCTGGGTTCTTAACTTACTCTTGTCTCCCTGTTCCCATAAGGCACTTATCGGCATCCCCTAGTCATTGGGTCACTGTAGTGCTGCCTCCATGTTAAACTGCTCTGGCTGTGAAGTCTCTGTTCCTGAACTTTTTTATTCTTTTGAGCTTGGCTATATATCCAGGGCATTTTTTCAATGCAGAATTTTTGTGTGTTTAGAGGGCAAAAAAAGGTTCAGTTCAGTCCCACCATTCTGATCGCCAACACTAAGTTTCTTAAAGGCAGAATCCATGTTTGATTAACCTTTCTGGATGCTAAAGATACGACAGACAAGTGCACGTGTCAACCTCTGCTCAATAAATATTTCACGAAAGAGAACAAGCGCAGGCAACCGAACGAACCGAACACATACAGATTTGCATACGGTGACGATGATCAGAGAATGGTAATGCTGCAAATTTACAGAAAGTAGGATCAAATGCCTAAAAAAACCACGGTATTGGCAACTTCTTGAAAAGTTTGTCAAAAAAGAAAAATAAGCCCAGGAGAGACTTAGGTGGTGAAATGGGGTAAAGCATCTTGCAGACCAGAATGTGCAGGGGACCCAGCACAGCTTGCACGGACCTGGGACTTGCACGGTGCTCTTGCGTGCACGATGCCCTCAGAGTCTCTCCAGCCAGCAGCGGTCCGGACCTGGCCTGGCTACTGCAGCCCACTAACCCTTCAGCGCACTGGTTTTGGGACCTTTGAACCTCGGTTCTGAGACCAGATGTAGCCAATGTAAAAGCAGGCTACTAGTCATCATCCCAAGCCTGCAGGAATGTAGGAAGCAGCTGCGTGACCATTCTTAAAGAATCGACCACTGTGCAAAGTCATTATGGAAAGCAATATGGATTTCCCCAAAAAATTAAAAGTAGAAATTCCATGCGGTCCAGTTATCCCACATCTGGGTATTCACCCAAGGAAGACTAAGACACTCATTTGAGACATATGCACCCATTTTCACTGCAGCATTGTTTACAATAGCCAAGAGCTGGAAACAAGCTAAGGGCCTATTGATAGATGAGTGGACAGAAGATGTGGTCTGTGCACACAAGAGATGACCACCCAGTTATTGGAAAAGAAATCCTTCCATCTGCAACACGGATGGTACTATGCTTAGTGAAGAAAGTCAGAGAGAAGAACACACCGCCTGTCTCACTCACACTGGAACATATGCAGTGAGTGAAGTGTATGAAATGAAAATAGATCTTTTAGACCATAAGACTAAATCACCAGCTACCAGAGGGGAGGGGAGCGGGTGGATGGATGAGGGGTCAAGCCTGAAAAGGATGGGATGGACTTTAAGTGGTGACTTTGAGCTGGTCTATACGCACATGGATTTATAATGATGCATACAGGCTAGACGTCAATGATACTTCAATAAAAAATAATCCCCCCCCAAAAAGCACTGCACCAATGTTAACTTTTCTTTTTGTGGACATAGGGAAAGAACATCTCCTTGAGAGACCAATGATTGTTTGGGTTGAAGCAAAATGATATATATATATATTTTTTTGGTTTGAATGCTTCTTAGTAAGATTCAAATTCTTAAAATGTCTTTTAAGGAAAATAAAATTGCTATTATTGTTACTTAAACAGTAGATGGCAAATCAAGAGAAAAACCAGAGACAATGGAGATTTTGTGGGAGGTTGGAGTGACTTGACAGAGCAGAACACGAGAACCAAACACCTCTGGTTTGAGGTGTTTCTTTGTCCGATGTGTTAACAAGACATCCGCAGACGATCAAAGGTTAAAGAGAGGTCTCAGATTCTACTTGAAAACAGATCAGAACGTTGATGTGTGCCCAAACACCTAAAGAAAGCATCTCCAACTTGTGTTTGAGAATCATTACCTGAATAACTGTGCGGTCCTCACACAACCACTCACCGCGTGCCTACCATGCCCCAAAGCGCCATGACTTCTTGCTAGTTCTCAGTCCCTGGTGAAGAGTTATCCTCAGTCTCATGACAACGAATTAACACATACAGGGCAGCCAGGACCCAACGCCAGATTTTTTACTTCACTTGGGTCTTTTCCTCCTTCCAAGCTGCCAGCCCAAGCAAGCCAAGTTAGCTCTTCCCCT